GCCCACGCACCACAACCCTGACCCTCAGCAGTCCCACTGGAGAGCACTTTCCCATTTAGTCTCTGTCTGGAAAAGATGATGGGACCCCAATTGTCCAAAGTGCGCTGCAAATCTCCACCTCTTACCCCATGTCTGAGGGGCTTACCCCCAACTTCCACCCAGCGCTATACAGAAACTTCAATGAGAATGGGAAGATCAAAGATGTTGGTATTGATTTAAAGATCTGTTCAGAATCAACCACACCACATCGAGTGTGTGTGTGTGTGTGTGTGTGTGTGTGTATAAAGCTAATCTGTCCCCAAATTAGGCCACTTACCATTGCCCTGTGTAGGGTAAATGAAGCTTGGTCAGGCTTTTACACCATTGGTCTTTGTGGCTACCACCTGTGGCCTGATTGTACTAATGCGGGAGGTGGGAGCATGGCCCGGGGCACACATGCCTGCTGCTGGACACCTGGAATGTGCGTAAGTGTGCACAGCTGAGCTTGGAAGCTGCAGCTCTAAGTGTGGCATCACACAGGACGGCAGGGCAGGGCCTCTATCGCAGAACAGCTAAGATGAAGAGACATTGGATGAGATCAGAGAAAGCCCAAAGAGAGAGTAAAGATAAAGATCCGCTGGGGGCTGGGAAGCCTGCCAGCCTCCTGCCTTCCACCCCTTGCTGGCGTGTGGGTTTGCCCCATGACAAAAAAGCATTAAAGCCTGAGAAAGTCAAGGAGGGCTCTGAGACTCCCCTTATTCCATCTTCTCAGATAGAAAACCTGCCCTGTGCCTTGTGGCACCACACCCTGCCACTGCTCCGTCATGTCTTGTCTAGACTACAGCTAGAACCTGAGTTGACTGTTTCCTTGTTCTGTACCTCACAGCAGCCAGGGGGAGTTCTTTAAGTCATAAGGCAGTCCACACCACTCCTCTGCTCCAAACCTTGCAGTGGGGATTTAAGCCCAGTCCCTACAGCGGCCTGTAAGTCCGAGATACCTGCCTACAATTGTCCCTCCCTGGCCACTGGCCCTGCCTCCTACTGCTCTCCCCTCTGCTTAGCCTGGCCGCCTCCCTTCTCCTTGAACGAACCAAACATATTCCTGCCTCAGGATCTTTGCACCTATCATTTTCTGCGGAATGCTCTCCCCCACATTATTTACATGACTTATTTCTTTCGTGTCTCTGTTCAAATGTCACCTCAAGAGCTGTTTTCCCTAAATAAGTCTACCTAAAATCTTTTGTAGACATGTACCTGCCTGTCTCCTCTTCATGTCACTTATCAACACCCCATTCACCAACTAGAGAAGTCCACGCAGATTTTGCTGGCCTACCTCAGTGTCTGGCACCCAGCTGGGAGGGCTCAATAAAATTTCTTGTACCAATAAACAAAACACATACATATGACTTTATTGACAAATCAATGCTAAGGCTGGAAGAATTTTATTATCTTCTATTGGTATGTTGGTTCTTAATCCTTTAACTGATAGGCATTTGAAAGACAGACATCACTTCTGATGGTAATAGTGGCACATCTTCAGCCAAGGTAGTGGCCCCCAGTTGGAGAGGTCAGAATTCCTCACAGTTCTTAGTGAGGCCTCAGTCACCCTCTTAGAAACTCTACCCCCATCTCTTTAAGGTACAGGCCAGAGGCGTGTATTACATCTTCTGCTCCTTAAATGCTGCCTGTTCATCTCAGGTCACTGAGGATCCAATTTTGGCTGTAAAGCTGCTTCTAATCCTGCAGCTTCCAGTGCTCACACTCAGCTTGGCCTCTCAGGTAACCTCTGAACCTTTAACACCTTTGTCATCTTCTTTCAGATGCTCACCTCTGGGACCACACCCCATGGCAGCGGCCCAGCTCCCCTCTACTTGAGCTATAGAATGATGCTAGGTAAAACATGACAGCCAGCTTGCAGTGTTCCCCAAATTCATGTTCTGATCGTCATCAGGAAGCCCACTGCTCTCCTTCCTGGCCTCCAATCCACAACTGAGCTTCTGCAGTGCCCCTCACCTTCACCAGTTTCGATAAGGACCCGACAGTGCTAAACAGACAGATCCTTTTCTTTGCTCTTCTCTTTCTGCCCCTCTCTGTGGTATTTGATATAATTCTCTCTTCCCTCCTGGAAACCAAATGACTCCCACCTGTCTGATAGACATCTCTTCCTCCAGTAGTTTGTAGGCAGCTAGTTTCCAAGTTTCTGATCTTGGCTCTCTGCCCTTCTTAACATTCCTTTATAAATGAAGACCGCATCTCAGCCCAGGGCTTGCCACTATCATACTCATCTTGAAGTTTCTCGACCCAGAACCCTTTCATTCTGCTAAGCTTTCCCAGCTATTGGCTAGCCAATCTCCATTTGGGATCTTCAGGCAGCTTAGTCAATTCAATCAATTCCCATTATCTTCCTTAAAAAACTTGGTTCTACCCACCAGATTCTCTCGGTGAATGGCACCACTGACGCCTAGTCACAGTTAAGTCAGAAATACTGTAATCAAACTTTCAATCTCTTGTTCTGATCTCCAAGTCTTGCTGCTTCTGCCTCCTTGGCAATGTTCATGTGCACCTTCCCACTGCACTGAATCCATCATTGCCCACCCAAATTATTCAAATTGAACTCACCTGGCCCTTCTCCAACCCAGCTTCCATTTGGCTGCCAGCACCATCGACCTAAAACACAGATCTTACCGCACCCTCCCCACTTCTTTAAATACTTCATGTCTGCACAGCACCTGCCACAGAGCACTGAAATTAGTTTACTGGTTTCTGTTGTTCATACTGCTGTAAGCAACTTGGAGGCAGACAATGCCATTTCCCTCGGGCCTCGCACAATGCCTGGCACGTAGCAGCTGCTTATGTTTGAGTGGAAGGATTCCAAGTCTCACTAGATGATGCTTGGATTGTGAGGTGCAGCAGAGTCGGGGCAGTGAGTAGTTAAGGGCAGAGACTTCAAGCAGACGGCTTGGCAGGCTCGAGTACTAGCACTGCCAACCTCCAGCTACTTGCCAGAGGGAAGAGTTCTGACCTTTTGTCGGCCTCAGTTTCCTCATCTGTTAAATGAGATTCCACCACTAAGCTGAGAATGTGGCAACACACCTAAAAGGCTTAGCAGTGCCCGAAAGGAGACGTGCTCAGTGAAGGGAGGCCATTACCACCATAATTAATGACGGCAACCATCATTTAAATCCCAAGATTTTGACATTAGAATCATTGAGGCACCAAGCAGTGCCTTACGATCACAAATTTAGTTAAGTGGCAAAATTAAATTTGAAACCCAGTATCACTCACTGGTATGCTGGCATCTGTTTGGTGGACTTGCTAAGTCAAAGTGTCTTATGAGCAACATACAGACCATAGGGGCAGGCTATCCAGATGTGCCCAGATGCATACCTGGGCTTTTGTCTCTCTGAACTTAAACTTGGCTAATGTGCCTTGGGGCAAGTTCAGAATTACAATAAGGTTGATCTTTCCTATTGTCAGCTGTAATCATGTTAAACTAAGAATCAAATGACTCCTTCTTAGACCCTCCACTAGATCAGGGGTTAAGGAGAGGGGAGGGACATTGCTAGCACCTGAAATTTCAAAATATACTGCCCCTTTGACTTTGAGAAGTTTGACATTCAAGAGTACACTGGGCAGAATAGAGTGTTCATTCTTTCCCTTTCCCCATTCTCACCTGCAGGGCCATTAGAACAATGATGCAATGAAAAGAATAATTATTAGAAGAGCTTGCATCTTGTCACAGGTATACCCCATTCTGAAGGATCTAAGGCAAAAAAGGACTTGCTAATTGGGATTCAAGCTGTTTTCCAATGAGGCTTGTCCATCAGGGTTGAATGAAATCAGGATCCTGGGGGATGGGGGTCAGGTGAGGGGGTGAAGTACAGTGGCTCCTCAGGCAATCTTGCAGGGTGAGCTGAGCTGGCCAGGAAGTGAGAGCACGTGTAAGGAATCAGCTGCAAGGTCCTCTGGCCTCCCAGATTCTTCCCGGTGACTGAAAGGAAGATCTGGTTCTTTGCCGTGCTGGGCTGAGAGCAGGACTCTTTCAGCACGTGGGAGTGGGAGAGAGGAATGGAGTCTAAAAGCCGGTTGCTGCTTCACCAAGTCACACAAAGCCAGGCTTGTTTCTGCCAATAGGTACCCTCAAAACTGAATTTAGATGGCATCTTTCCAGTTAACATCTTGCTGCTGATCACAGTGTAATTAAGACTTGCTTGTGTGTTCTGATTTTGGTGTGCCTTCCTACATTATTCCCACTCAGAGGCAGGGAAGGGTGCCTGGCACTTCTCTGCCAGGTAAAGAAGTCTCACGGACAATACACATCGGGTTCAACAGGAACCAACTTGTTCAGAGACCAACAGTGGCCAATGCAGGCAGAGCCTGCAGTGAGGAACCTGACGACAGAACGGTGCCCAGGTCCAGTGTGCTTGCAGGGACGTTTATCCTACAGGCAACCATGAGTGCAGTGCTGGCTCCTAGGGCCAAACCAGACACCGAGAGGGTGCAATTCCTGGTGCCTACATGGAGTCGGCACTCTCTCAAGCAGGATAGAGACTGTGATCCCAGACATAAGGTCAGACCTGTGACTCACTTTCCCAAGGTGAGGGTGTGCACCAAGGAAGAGCTGGCAGGAGCAGCCAGGCTGGCGTCACCAAGTACCCTTCCTCCTCCGCTTTGTCCCTCCCGGATGCCCTCTCTCTGAGTCACTCTTCTGGTCATACCCTATGTGAGGGTGTTTGCATGGCTTGGGTTTCATTCTAGGTGTGCTTGTTGATGGGCTGAGACCAAAGCGACCGAGCACATGGGCTACGCAAAGGCCTCATCAGCACTCTTGATTTCCCACAAACACAGGTCCCAAAAGTGTTACCCACGCCACCCTGGAGTCCCCTTACAGAATTACAGCCCTCTAATTCCTTGCTACTCAATACTTAATGTCAAGATAAAAAAACAAACAAACAAAAAAACAGTACACAATTGTTTTTCCAATACAAAAATGTATCAAGGGAATTATTTAGGGGTTTGGTTTAGCAAAGTAGAAATAAAAAACACTTCAAATTCTTTTTTAATCTAAAAAGTGTGATCTAAATGAATTCTCTATTGCTTTAGGAAAGACAGTGCTTCCCTAAAATTGATTTTCAAGTTCACACTCTTACCTCCACTGCACTGCAACCCCAAGAAGGAAAGCTCGCCAGGGGCAGATCTGGGGTCAAGGCAGATCAGTGACATTCTTATGGCCTAGGTGCAGACTCACCCACATGCGCAGGGGACTATCATTTACCATTCAACCTACATACTTTTGAGAGTGAAAGGGTACTGTTAATTACTTGAGAACAAAAGGTATAAAATGGGACATATGGCCACCCTAGTGATAAGTTGGTTTGGGAAACCACATTTCCCATCATGCCTTGGCCCCTGGAAGTAAAAAACTGGACGGGAGCAAAAACACCCTGGGACTTGTTGGTTAGCACCAGTGAAGAGGTAAACAACATGGGGCTGGGGTCTGTCTCCAAGGCTTCCTCCTCGCCTGGGACACTTAAGGAGACACAGAACACACCACCAGAGTGAAATTTCAGTGGATATTAAGTCTGGGGTGGAACCTCTCTCTCCTCAGCAACTTTGGCTTCCGAAATACAGAGCTGCTCAAGCTATCCGTTGGTCTACTGTCCTGCTTCTTCTGGGTGCTGCTTCTGGCCCCCCATATCACTAGTGCCCACATAGCCACTAGTTTTCTGGGGGATTCTGGGCCAGGTGCTGTTCCCATTCCACTTCAACCAACTTGTACAGCTCCATGGTGGCCTGAGCATCTTCTACAGAGGAATGTCCACTTTTCCCAACCTGAACAAATAAGAGAAGAGGATGAAGCTACCAGAAACTATTTCTTCCCTTCCCAACTGACTCCATTCATTTCTCACACACGCTGTCATGAGCAGTTAGTGTGGCTACTGTTGCAAAGGGAAAATGGGGAGGGGCCTCGCTCCTTATCTAATTTCAGGGTTCAATTCCTAAGGAAGTCATTGCTGTTGATTGCTGAAATCCTTTCTGTGTGGCAACATGTATATGCTCTATTGTTCTACATTCTGTAGAGACAGGCCCTCTTCTGAGTCTTGTCCCGTTTCTTAATTACTGTTGTATAACATGGGTGTCAGGCAGCCCACCCCTTCTCTGACTGTCAAGCAAGTGAACACACAAGAGGTGTTTGCATCCATGATGTGGTCTTATAGACCTCCACCTCCATCTGCTTCCTTCTCAATTAGGATTTTAAATCCACATAAATCTAATGAGATTTATATTTAAAAGGGTACCTCTTCCAAGGTCCCTTTAGAATGTGAGAAAAGGAATTATTAACCCTCTGCATTGATGGAGAAATTTACTGGGCCTCTAGCTGAAAAGCTGTTCCCATCAGAGCAGCCTGACTGGATCCCTACAAGCAGAGGCATTCTGGATATAACAGGATGGTCAACAAGGGCAGTCTCCAGAGCCTGAGTTGGGGGTGTGGTAGGATTTGGGGAGACATTACCTGGATGTCCCGGTTCAGTAGCTTCTGGGTAAGACGCTTCAGAGACATGGTGGCATTCTCTGGGCACTCAGCCTTACGGTTGAGGAGGGGGATGTGAGAGGTGTCGCGGGTGAGGGACTTGGGGTGAAAGTACTGAAGGGCTTTGAAGTCATTGTGGATGGCGTGCCCTACCACAATCTTCCCTGTAAGTAGCTTCAGGATCTGAAACAGGTGTGGGAGAGGTGGTGATGAGGACTCAAAGTGGGAGCCCCGCACCTGAAAGTACACGGTGGCCACAGCCCCCTCTAGATTCCGTTTACCAACAGCCCCACCTCCCTCGTGCTGGAAATGCCCTCTCACATGCATTTACTTTCACCTGAAATCCAGCTTCTCCCTGCAAAGTGAAAGCAGGATTTTCCACGGCATGCCCATTTGGACTTCCACTGGCAGTGGATCCTTATCTTCTCATTGATCTTAACTTCAATGGCAAGTTAGTTTGTTTTTAGTCCCAAGGCTCACTCACATTTGAGATGCACGTGTAACCTTCTAGCTGGGTTCTGGCTTCCACTGGAAGTCCCTTAACCATGGTTATGGCTGTACATTACATGCTGCACAAATAGAGCCAAAAGTTGGGCTCTAGCCGGTAACAGAAGCCCCAAATTATATAGAAGGAGTGATGGACATAGGTTCCTGGCGGGGGGGAGGCAGGGAAGGCATAGAGGAGAAGTCTGGTTTTCCATCAGATTTTCAAGGGTCTACAGGATATAGAAGATTAAGAATCACCCATGGACGAAGGCTGCAGAGAGACAGATCAGGCTATGCTGCTTTAACAGTCAGTCCCATGCTTCAGCTCCTCTAGCTCACAACCAAGGGACATTTACTACCTGTTCAGAACCTTGTTCACATTAGTCTTGGAACCAAATAACCTCTCACTACTTCAGGATCTAAAGCGAGGCCTGCCAAAGAATAAGCCATGGCCTCGAAAGGCCACTCCCAAAGTGGGGTTCCAAACAGGTTGTCAGCAACAGTCCTGGCATCAGTTCATGGGGTCCCAATGAGAAGGGGCCAGACAGACCTTAGTGCCCTACCCTGGTGTGGCAACAGGGAGTGCGTTGTCATGGAAATCAGCACAGTATTTAGTTGATCCTCGCTGCACCTTCAATTTGCTGTCCACCAACACTTTTACTTCACATTAACTTCAACATATAGCCCTTGTGAAAGCTAAGCAGGTTTGCTGTCTCTGAGCCACCCCATCTTTTGCCTTTCCCAAAGCTCTGCCCAGCTGCACCCCTGGTACGCAGGATGTCCAATTCTTCCTTTCCAAGTTCTTTCTAAGATTCAGACATTTCTGGAAACCTCCTCCCACCAAGTGTCTTGGCATATAAGGAACTGACCGAACAGCCAGTCTAAGGAAGGCAAAGAATGTGCTCAAAATACAAAGTGGAATAAGGGTGCCCTCTGGCGGCCTCCTTGAGACCAACAGGCTCCCTGTCTCCTGGCTTTCTGCTTTCTCTCTTAACTCCCAGCAGCTCTCCTTCCTGTCCTGTTCATTTGTGTGCTCCCCACTGTCCCCACTGCCCACACAAGACTAGAACAATACTTGTTTTGCTCGGTGAATGAGATGGGAACCCAGTGGACCCAATGTCTTTCCCCCTTTCATTGCAGACTACAGGCCCAGTTACACAAATATGCCCATCTCCAATCAATGCCCTGTCCTCCCCCACCAACACTTTTATACTTGCCCCAGGCTACCTCTTGCTTGAGCTCTCCACCTCCCCTTACTTAATCCTACACCCCAACTCTAAAGGGTTCCCATATTGGGTCTTTTCTCCCTGGCACTCATGCCTGCTGCTCTGCCCATCAGTGGTTGCTATTTCTCGAGGCAGAGTTTCTCAGATCAGAATGAACTTGTAACTTAGAATTGGTCGTATTTGAAGTCTGTCACACCAGCTACAAGTAACTTCCAGATTTTCACCACTCTTCGTCTCTGCAGGAAGACTTCTTCCTCCTGTCACTCCACTTCCTCCACCCCTCCTGCCACACACCGTTGGTGCCTTCCCAAGCTGATATCCTTTGGTAAAAAATTATTTTACCCACCCACCTCTCTACTCCCAAAGTGTCCCGTGCCTCTCACCTGGCTCCGAGCAACCTTGAAGGGTGTAGCATTAACCATGTGCTGCTTCCGAATACCACTCCACCTGGTCCGGTAGTCCACAATGTGGCAGGGGGGGCGAACATACTCATCATAAAGTACATCTCCATTGTAGTTAACGATGCTACATCTAGCCAAGGAACTGACATGCCCCTTGGGTCCAGTGCCTACCATCTCGCAGTCAATTGCCACCATCTTAGTAGGTATCTTCTGGGATGTCCCAGAGCATTTACTCTCTGATGGAGCTTGAGTGGAGTTCTGTGGGACATTCTTCTGAGGTCCCTTTTTCTTGGAACGAGTTGGGGGCTTCTTTATCTTTGGAAGGGCACTCTGGAATTCTCCTAGCAGATCTACTCTAGCCACAACAGAAGTGGCCTTCTGTGAAGGGGCAGGGGTCAGCCAAGGCACCACAGCTTTCTTATCCAGGGACTGTTCTGACCCACTGCCAGCAGTAGCTGTCCTCTTTTTTTTCACAAGGGGAGGGCCCTTCCAAGCTCCATCCACTCGAGGAGTTTCCTTTTTCTTTGGTGCTTCGGAGTGCAACTTAGGCACCTTGTTAGGGGGCTGGTTCTTCTTATTCAGAATGCCTCTCCGTTCCAAAAGTCGCCGCTTTTTGACAAAATTTCGGTGCTTAGCATTCCCCTCTAATGCTTTCTTGGGGGGAGGTTTGCCAAAATCCAGATTGAGAAGTAAGGTAGACATGAGGACAGTGGATGGTGAGAGAGCTGTTGGGAAGACTGGCTTACCAGTGCAAGGATTGAGGACTCATCCTCTGATGAATTCCACAGACTAACATCTGGAGGCTTGTAGTATACCCTGGGAGAGGGGGATCGTGATAATTGAGCATACAGACCTGGAAGAAAATTAAGACCCATCTCTGTAGGACTGAATGGAGAGTGCTATCAGAGCAATCACCCAGATAGAGAGGAAATGAAGCTGCAACATGAAATGATGGAGTGAACGTTGCCTGAGCCAGAAGGCCTCGAGTCTGGCAAAACCCAATTCCCTAGCAGTCTGGTCTTAGTGAGGTCATCTTCCCTCTCTATATCAGTCTCTTTTATAAACTCAAAGGGCTATAGGCTCCGTCGAGCTCAACTCTGGGCGTCTGAAAAGCCAGAATAGGCAAACTCTCCTACCCAGGAAGGGAATATCTAAGTATGCTTGAAGGCAGTGACGTGTATGGTACGTGAGACCTCAGGATTCCCCAGGCACCCCCACGAATAAGCTACCAATCCAGATGACCCCCTTCCCAGTCTCCGCATGGGGGAAATCGCCACAGACATCTCGCCCGTCTTTCCCGTAAGAAAGGAACTTTGACAACACATACCAGCAAGGGGGAAATCGAGGCCTGGGGCTGCCTACCTCAGCAAGCACGCTTCCGCGGCGCGCAGCACAGCGATCAGCCTCACACTCACACCTACCTCTCAACCGGCTCCACTACGACCGGAAGCGCCCAAAGACGGATCCGGAAATTGGCGCGCGCCGCCGAGGCCCAGGCCGGCAGGCCCGC